ATCTTATCATATTCCACATTCTCAAATATTGATAACAAAGCGATCTCAGGATTCAATTCTATATCTTCTCCACATATCTCATTTAATTCTTTAAAAGTTTCTTTCCAAAATCTTTGTACTTTTTCACATTCCCACCACATATGAAAGTATGTACCAATTTCCTTCTCACATTTCCAACAGACATTCAGATAACTAGCATTAATTTTATTTAATTTTGTTGGTGTGAAATACCATCTTAAACACAGTTTAATTTTTTTTCCCTTATTCTCACTGACATAAATCTTGAAACCCTCATATTCCACATCTTCCTCCATTCTTCCTCGTTTATCCTTTTTCCAAGGTCTGCTTCCCACACTAGCTTCACCCCTTCTTTATCACTTTCTTCTTTTTCTAAATTGAGCATGAATCCGTAAATTTTAGTCACTGTGCCCTTTACTGAATCCGTCATCTGAATGTCTTCATATGATAATAGAAATTATTCATACTTCGTGTATTCTCTACCTTTGTTATATTTCTTTACCCATTCATTAGTCCATCTTTCTAATTGTAAATAGTTCAACCATGAAATATTGGTACTCTGAAGAATTAGTTTCATTTGCTGTATTGATCTCATTTTGTTCAACCAATCTTTTAATCTAATCACTTTTTTTCTTTAAATAATTCCACATACACTTTCATATTGACAGGAAAATTCTCTATTTCTGTCACTAATCCAAATGGACAGTTAGATGAGCATAATGGCATCAATTTGCTGCCAATACACAGTAAATTTCCGTACACAAGTGCAAATAGGAAATATTATTTATTTAATTATTTATTTCTAAACTCTCCCACCTCTGGGCAGTTTACAACATATATAAGCAACGGGCTTAAAATACAATTTTAGAAAAGAGAAAATAGAAATGATAAAATGCAAATACACAATAGGATTCTGATCCATGTGAAATCTCTGTTTCTTTTTTAATCCCTCTTTGTAACTACAGACTTGCATTGGTTTGTCATACAATATTAATTTTTTTTCTTTAGATTCATCAATTAGAGGAAAATTTGGAGGAGGTTGAGCATAATTCAGTGAGAGAACAAAATATTTATTTGATGCCTTACAAGTCCAAAGTCCCAAATTCTGACAACACAGACAATGCCATTTACCTTGATTGGGAAAGGAGCTGGTTGACCCTCAAAGATTAGCCTTCTCCTAAATGCTGCCTCACACATGTCTTTGTTTGAGGGCCATCTTTGCTGGTTAAGAGGATGGGCATAAAGAACACACTCTTTTTGCTGATAGTGCCAACTCATAGAATGCTATCTCCAGAGAGACTTCCAGCTGCCCCGTCTTTGCCTTCCAGCACTTGAAAAAAAAAAAACCCTAGTTCTTTACAGAGCCTTTGAGGGAGAGCTGAGCTAATTATCTCTTCCTTTGGCTGCTTCTGCGGTTTTATTTTTTAATTCAAGCAGTTTAATCATGACTATAGATATCTCAGCTTTGAATTTCCACTACTTGGGAAATTCAGCAGTATTTATCTTCAAGTTCTTTTAGCTTTAGATTTATCCCTATACTGAAAAGAAGAGTGCCATTGCCTTCCCTCCTTCATGCTTCCACTTTTAATACAGCCGATGATTACTCTATAGATTATAATGATCATCATAAATCAAAATTTGAGAGGTCTGTTTTTATGGAACAACTTTTCATGTCTTCTGACTTTAGAAATCGTTACTCTGATTGCGTCTTTTCCTCTTGCCTCAACATTCCTTGTTCTTTTTGCACTGGCTGTGAGATTATGGGCCTGCAGGCAGGGACTGCAGCTTGGGAACAATAACTGCTTTTGGAGTATAATTCCCAGAACTGTAGGACATGCAACAATGAGCTCAAGCTACAGGAAGCCAGATTTAGGTTGAATGTCAGAAAAAAAGTAATAACTGTTAGAGCAGTACAACAATGGAACCAAGTACTTTGGGAGGTGGTGAGCGTTCCAACTCTGGAGTTAGTCAAGAGAAGATTGGACAACCACCTGTCAGATCTGCTTTGACTTGGATTCCTGCACTGAGAAGGTGCCTGGACTGTAGACACCTTCCAACTCAATTATTCTTTGATTCTGTGATTCTAATTCAGTAGCCTGTGAGGCAGTGGCCATCCTGATCGGGGCGACTCTAGGAACTGTAGTCCAAAACATAGTTTTTCTATGTTCTGACAGGGATTGCCTTTCTTTTCTCAAATGTTAGAGTAGCACCCAGCCCATAATAGGCACTGTAGAATTGGTACATATGCCCATGTGCATGCTGTTTGTCTCTCTGTGCATCACCAAGATTTTGGGGGTACTGAAGAAATTCATAAAGTAAACCCCAATAGCTTCTGATGGCAGAAGAGGCCCCGCGAGAGAGATGGGCAGAGGGGGGGTTTGTGCTGGTCTGTGGCTGAGTCAGGAAATGAAGTAAACTGCCACATAGAGAAAGACAAATTTCTTTGCATGTTAATGTGTTCCTTAATGACCCCAAATCTCTCTGTATTTTTTCCCTCCTTCAGTACCTTGTCTCTTTGATCCAGGAGAATTTGGGATGGATGTGGGTTTTCAATTTCTTCGTCCTGATGGTAAGGACTGCTGCTTTTTAACACTGCAATTTTTGATAATATGTGTGTGTGTTGTGTCTCTCTGTCTCTGTGTATACAAACTGTTCCATAGCCCTTTCTCAGTTATTTTTTCTGTAGTACTTCCAATGACCCTTTAGGTTAGGAGAAAGTTATTATTCTCCTCTTGCAAACTGAGCTTGAGAAAATTTGGCTAAGGCCACCTCTAGAGCAGTCCTGAGCATGTCTCCTCACATGCAAGCCCTGCCTAATTCAATGGCACTTTCTCCCAAGTACCTGTATATAGAATTGCAGCCCTACTAAGTTAATTCCTGAGGCAAGATTCAAGCCAATGGTTTTCCTGATTTATGGCTCAGTCTCTTAGCTGTTACTCTATTCATGGCTGCTTGTTGTTCAGTTTCCTTTGGCTTAGGAAGCAGCTGCCAGTTCTTTTTGGATGGACCTGGGCGTTGCGGCCGGCCTGCTCCACACCTCCTTTGATCCACAATTTTGGTTGATCTGCACAAAGTCAGCAGAACAAATGCGGGCCTCAGTCTTCCTTCTAAAACAGAATGTCTGAGATGTAGATGAAATGATACCCCTGGAATGAGGGGAGAGATAGAAAAGTACATGTTGACCTAAACACATTCAGAGGAGTTTGGACAGCCCGGTTTCCCAGACTGTCCTACTTAACCAGAAGGTCTGCAGTTCTCCAGTGATTCCCATGATCTCTTGTGTTTCATTTTTGGCATAGTGCAGCTCGCAGGCAGGGCTTGGTCCCCCTCAGCTTTACATGAAGAGCTGTTTGTGTGAAAAAGCCCCAAATGCCAAAAAGACAGCTGATGTTACTGGAATTGAGCCCCTCTGCTTCTTAGAAGCAGTAGTTTGTCACTTTTGGATTTTTTTTTTCACACGGTACCAGTTGTTTGTCACCAAGCTGTCCTTGTGTGAAACTGAGGAGGTGCCCACTCTTGTGTTTGAACTGCTTCTGGCCCAGCAGTGATAACAGAAATCAGAGAACGGCTCAGTTCAAAACCTCAGCCTGCAATTGGTGACCCAGCTTTTGAGGTAATACGTGTATGTGACGCCATGCCATGCGTTATAAGGCTGCAGCTCTGAACCTTTTGTGTGTCAAGACCCATATTTCCTTGGGCCTTATTAGTCAGAGTTGCAGCAGCAAGTGGGTATCTAAAATAGGCAAACCCACCCATTTGTTCTCCCTATTTCAACCCCCTTGCCTCTCTCTCTCTCTCTCCCCCCTTTCTTCCTCAGGCTCTCCCTCATGGTATCGCTTCATCTGGCATCCTGAACCAAACCAGTCACTTGCAGTGAGCTTTTTAAATCAAGCTGAGGGCCACAAATCAAGGACACATGTCAGCTGTGTCATGTGTTGAGTGCGCCAATTGCCTGAACCAAGCAAGTGCTCTCCGTAGGATGTCATGTCTGGCTACGCTTTCCTGTCGAGCACTCGTAGAGAGTGTCACTCATCTGACAGTCTAACCCATACATTACAATGGCTGCCTAGAAATTAACCTTTTCACAGCCTTGCCTAGAGTCAGACTGTTGGTTCACCTGGTTCAGTCTTGAACTGACCAATGTTTGCTCTCCAAGGTTTTAGGTAGGGGAAGTGCCAAGATTTGAACCCGTAGTTTTATGCCTACAAAGACAGGCGTTCAGCAACAGCATACTTCCAACTTTAACATCCTTAACTCTTTTTGTCTTTCACAGATCAGCTTAACAGTGGTGTTTCTTGCGCCTTTAATCGTGAAGGAAATCCAGATGCTCCTGGTTCAGCGGCGCTTGCGCAGATTAGTGGGTTGACCACTTCCCTCCCTCCTTTGCTATGGACTGGACCTCCTTGAGGGCAACCGCTGAGAGGAGAGGGGTTTCAGGTGCTTCACATTTCCTTCTTTATGTCACCTCCTCTACGGCCGCCGTGGGTTACCAATGTCATGACACGATTTACTGCTGAGACCGTGGTGTCTGAAGATGCTAAAGTGACTGAGGACATGGAGGTGGCTGTACCACCTGAAGAACTTGTTGAATGGGCCAGAGAGGAGTGTTTCCTTTTTTGAATTTTGCCTCTTGTCTCAGGGCTGTTGGTAATCATCAAGTTCCAGTCCATAGTGAGGAGAGGAAAGCAGCCATCCATCCAGCCGGGGCTGCAGCTGGCAGAACTCATTTTTGAATACTCCCAAACTATCCCCTCCCCCGCAAATCTCCTTCCACAACCATTTCCAAGAACTCCGTTCAAGCTCATCTTTTTTCCTATTGCACTACCTGCCTCTATGAAGAAAGCATTCTCCATGGAGATGAGGGATTATTCAAATGTACGTTCTTGCCTACAACAGAACAGTCCAGGAAAAGCGTTCATCGCTTGACACTGATGACTGTATGCAAATACTCCTTTGTATTTTTATTTGCTTGTATCTTTATGCTGTATCTGGCCAACTGCCAGATAATATGAAACTGACAGCCCTTCCCCCCCTTTTGCAACTTTTATTTTATTTTATTTTATTTTATTTTATTTTATTTGCAGAGGGGGAGAGGCCTTTTAATTATTTGACACTAAAACATCCTTCCAAAGTAGCCTTGGGTCAACCCAGCTCAGCACAGTTTTTTATGAACTTGATTGTGCCAACTACCTGCTTCCTGGTTACTACCTGGCTGTATATTTACAAAATACACAGTAGGAAACAATGGAAGCAGGCCAGATTCTTAGGATGCTCATGTAAAAAAGAATGGCTGTGGTGTTCTGTTTATTTGATAACTGAATATTTGTCCTGTCTTGATGCTGTTAATTTAACTTTCCTGTGTCCAACAGTGCAATTGCATTCCATACTTGATTTATTTTTCTCTTAATCGCCTACCTAATGTGTGAGAATGGAGGCTGCATCTCCAGTGATGTTTGGAGCCAAACATCTCTCGTACACAGAGATGGTGATCAGAGTTGTTACTAAGTCCTTAAAATTCAAATGAAAATGACCTTATGATTTTCAGTGGGTTTCAGCAGTTGATCAGAAGGGAATGAGATGATTGTCTGATATTGCCCATGTCTGATCAGTTGTGATAGCTTACAGGAGGCGATATTTGTGAAAGCTGAGGCAGACCTTCAGCTTCTTCATTGGGGAGTCATCCAGTCACATCTCTTCCGGCCACCTTAGGAGCACATACCTGAACAATCCTTTGAGTTGCACCACTGTGTAGGCAGAACTAGCCAGCGTAAAAAGCCTAGTACCACTGCTAAAGAATACAGTGCCACATCCATGAACACTTCCCATGTTGCCTTTTTCACAAGCTTGACTTCAAGTGAGTCCATCTCATGCTGCCATTGCCCTGTGGGATGAGAGGGGCAGAAATGCTCAGGGCTTGAGGCATACTCAGATCTTGGAAATAATGTGTTAAGACATTGATGTCAAAACAGTTACTCTTGCTTTGAACAGGAGGAATGCATCTGAGCTTTCAAAAATGATGTTTTAAACTTAATGCTAAATATTTCAAAATATCATTCTTTATGGTTGTTGTAGGTTTTTCAGGCTGTTTGGCCATGTTCTTAAGGTTTTTCGTCCTAACATTCCATAAGGTTTTTCTTCCTAACATTCCATATACTGTACTATCCCGCAAACTGCACTAGAGCACAGACAGAGTTCTGACTCCTATCCTCTGAAGATGCTGGCCACAGAGACTGGCGAAACGTTAGGAATAAAAACCTTAAGAACATGCCCAAAATGCCCGAAAAACCTACAACCATAATCAGATCCCGGCTGTGAAAGCCTTTGAGAATATACAGTACAGTATATCATTCTTCAGTTGGTTTGTGTTTCTGTTAATGCAAAAGTTAATGCAACATGAACACATTAAATGTAATGCAGTATTTCCAAACTCTGGGCATGTTGTATAAAAGCATGTCGAGGAACAGAGGAATCTGACCATGAGGTGGTGGTTTGGGGCAGCCAACACACACTGTGGTGGTTTTCTGATTAGTGTTTTGCCCTGTAAATTCAATAAAGGGGAGTCATAGTTGTAGGGGTGTCTCATGCATTGTAGCCATGCATTCCCTCGTTGCCTACCTGATATGCTTAATATTTTTAAGATGTTTCCAGATGTCCACAAAAGTTGCATATGCACACACACACATAATCCAACATGGTAGCCTTCTCTTGATTCCATTCCCAGGTTTTACTCGGGACATCAGTTATACTCTCTATCTACATTGTACTGCAGGTTCTTAAAAAACAGCCTTCTCTTGATTCCATTCCCAGGTTTTACTCGGGACATCAGCTATACTCTCTATCTACATTGTACTGCAGGTTCTTAACCCCCCCCCCCATCAATTATGTTGTCATGTAGGTATTTAGTGTAGACTGGGAACAAAGGGATGCCCTCACTTCCTGCCATATATACGGGACAAATTTGTGTCTGATCTAGCCCTCTATTGCTACTTTGCCCGTTCCTGGTTTGAATTTAGTAGGGGGAAATACAACACAAATTCAACATAGTCAAGTGTACAGGGTATGTGCATTGGATATGAAAACATAACACAAATGTCTTCTCTGTGCTGAGTTCTTTCCAAATCCTTCACCTGCTTCTGAATATGTTTATATTGTACCTGCTGACAATGGATGTCTTCCTGATCAATGGATTCTCGTCTCAGTTTCTTCTGATTGCTGAAATTGGCAGGGGTGGTGGTGGTGGCTTAATCAGGTGTTAATTTTTAGGAAAAGGGATTTTTTTGCCTTTATAAATACTTAATGTGTTGTGATATCTTTTTAATATATGTATATATTTATGAATGTAAATGTAAAATCATGTTATGGCTGCTGCGAGTGAAATGTTGCTGGTACCTTAAAGGCCTCTTAATGAAGTATGTTATTGTTTGTGACAATCTTCCTGTAAGGCTGCTCCCATCCACTCTTCTTCAGTATGTGATTGCCTAATTTCTGGGAGTCTTGGGGTTTTTAGAAATCTTCTGTCACCCAGTGTCAGCCTTCTTGGAAGGCCATTCTTTATTCCTTGTTTTGAGATGGAAACCTAATCCACCGACAATGCAGAGGCATAGATTTGATTTTTCTTCCTTGTCCTTGCCACTCGGTTTCGGCTTTTCTGTGGTTTCTCCCAAAGGAGAGGCTCTTCACCCACCTGAACTTGTTTGGTATCAGATCCCTTTTGTAAAAAAAAAAACAAACACACACACACACACATTACCCTTGTGAGTTACATGGTCTCATTCAGGAAAGCAACACACTTCGAATTGTAGACCTTCCCTAGAAAAGCACCTTTCCCCTTCTTTGAGAATCTATGCGCACAATCACTTTCGCCATTTTTCTTAATTTGATTGTGAAAATTGACAAGAGATCCACAAGGAACTGGGTCTTCAGGCGGACCTTTGATATGTGTTCTGCCCTTGATGTCTACACAGGTGTCAGTGGCTGAAATCCTGTTACTTAGTAGGGTAAGGTGCACTAAAGTAGTCTCACTGAATCAGTGTGGATTTGGTGAGTAAAGTCGCCCATAAATTCCATTGATTCAAATGGGTTGTTTCTAGTTGCAAACTATTGCACTAAAGTAAGTAGCAAGTAGAGTAAACGAGTTTGAATAAATAAAATTTATCGAGGGGTTGTCTCACCAAATCTCCACTGAATTAATGGGCCTACTCTAGCATTATTGACTGCACTAAGCAACAGGATTTCATTCTCTTGTGTTCAAAGAAGCAAGGGTGTGAATAGTCCTGCACAATCTTACCTTGAAATGGTGGACATGGACTTCTTAGCTGACAGGGGATGAAGACAGGCAGTTATCCCAAAGCCCACCTTCAGTCCAGGAAAGAGAGAAGCTTTAAAACAGATTCTTCACCTCAATCCTATTGTACAGATTACAAAGTTTTCCTCTTGGAGGTTGATGGGAGCACTTCAAAGATGAACTTTGAAACACATTGTACCTAATGAAGGCAACCAGTTGGGCATACCAGTTCCATATATTCCCATGTAGGACCTTTTACTCTGTAAAGATTAGAGAATAATAAATTATTTTTAGCAAATTAGAAAATTCTGTGTTGTTTTTTGGCTTTGCCCCTTAATTTGTTACACTGAATACTTTGATTTGCAGTTTAGATGGATTAAAACCCAGGTGTACATCAACCTGCTTGTTCAATTTCAGGGTGTAGTTTGGGTTTACGAGTGCCAAGCTTTATGCCTATTGTCTTTTGTGCTAACATGGTGTCTTAATCTGCATATCATGGAAAATGCCCTTTTCTGAACCAAAACTCCCAGCATGCACCACCCAGCCTGGCCACTAGCCAATAATGGCTTGTTGTTTACGTCCATGAAAAAAAAACTGGCATCTTTCCCTTGCAGGCCTCTGTATTGTCTGTAGCTCTGGCACATGCACTCTTAGATTGAGCTCTTTGCCTTTTAAACTCAATGGGATTTATGGCCAGGCAAAGGTTTCTGTGTAGCTTTTGGCAAGAATGCAAAGAACGGCCAAGCTTTTACACTGCATCACAACCAGGGGACGTGGGTGTGTTCTTTTTGACCAGCAGCCCTTCGTGTCATTAGGCAAACAGCTTTTGAAACAGAGGAAACTTACAAAAGTTGTTTTTGAGATCCATTACTTGTGCATGTGTCATTTTTAGATGGCAGAAGGAAATGTTCCACTGGGTATAGCCAAATCCTTAGAGCAGATAAAGGAAGCTTTTACATGTTGATATTTCCCATAACTAGTCATTTTCAGCGGGCACATACATTTCCTCTATCTTGTCTCATGCATTCTCCTCTTGCATCTTTCTGCTTTCTGTTTAAATCATATAAATTGGGATCAAATTAATGAGTAGCCTGAAAAGATCTTTCCGTAGAACCTGTGGACTTCTGCATTGGTACAATCTGCTAATTCTTACCTTTAAAAATTACAAGTTAAGGGGGTCAGCACTGTTTTTGGCAATTGTACCAGAACTGAAGGGTTGTGGAGTTACTGTTTTGCCACGACACCCCGACTGCCCCAGCAATGTTTAAATAATCCATGCAACTGTGAGTCAAGAGACCTACTGTTTGCTGGGATACCATTTCAGGCGGATAAGCTTTGTCATATTAGCCCTTAGATAAGAGTCTTTTCTGTCTCAGCTATAACCTCATGGCCTGTTGATCTGACGACCTTTCTAGCCTCATTCATAAGTTTCCTTTAGCAAAGGAAGGGAAACCATTGTGATTAAGGGTTTCTGATAACACAGCTGAAATGCATGTGATACTCTTCTCAGCCCTCCCCACCAGAACCCCATAAAGTCAGCAACTTGACTCAACCAGTAAAGTTCAGTAGGTCAAGCAACTGGAAATAAACACAATAGCTGGACTGCTTCTGCTTCCTCTCTCTCTCTGAGGGTCACAGCACTGGCACATGGGAAAAGAAGGGATGGGTAATGAGCCGGAGTGCCATTCCAGCACAAGGAGAAGACGCCAGGTCTTTTTACTCCTCCCATCATGTTGCCAGGAGCTGGTACCTGGCATGAGAAAGACTAGAAGCTGAAGCCGGATCAGGCACGATGGGTGCAGGATAGTATAGGAGCTGATTATGACAATCCTAGCCAAACCTTCAGAAAGAATCCCAAAATTCAGCTAACTATTCAACCATATTTAAAAAAAACAAAAAACCAACAAACAAACACCCACAACAGAAGGAGCTCGACTGTTTCTGTGAGGATTGTCGTTTAGACCTGAAGGGACAAGAAAGCATGGAAGAAATGTCACTGTCTTTGCAAATGAAGTTGCAACAAGCCCTTGTTCCACTACATCATTGTTTAGGATTTAAGCCTACATTTATTGTATGAAATTTCATATGTCACAAGAGTATAAATGCAAACATCTTGGGTGAAATCACAACTAGAGCAGGCCCATTGAATCAGTGAGTCAACTTCCCTGTAAATTCCATTCATCCAATGGGCCTACTCTAGTTGCAAGTTACTATTGGATTTTAAACCTTATAGTCAAGGTGTGACTTGGTTCATGGATTTGGTGCCAACTGTGAAAACAATATTACTTGTCTCTGATTATACCTCCATGCGCATATTGTACCCTTTAAGCCTTTGTTAACGTAAATGATTAACAGATCAACAAAATTACCTGCCAGATTGAAGTGATACCTGTTAGGCTGGTATCAAGGAATTAGTTCCATGCCCCCCCCCCCGCAACACACAAACACACCAAACACTGCACAATAGGGGGGAAAAGAATAGCTGGAACTGGGTCTAATGGCATTCATTGCTGCAGCATAGCAGATGCCTGGGTGGCCAAACTTGGCTCTCCAGTGGATCATGAGACTATTGAAGTGTCATTTCTGTATGCAGAGAAATAAAACCTGACATCAAGAGGGCTGGGGATGTTTAGTACGTACTGTGGGTGTTTTAATCTTGTGATGTCCTGCAAATGCAGTAGGTTCCTGGATGCCTACACATCTGTGAGTGGAGGATATGTTCTCTCTGGTGGTGAGAGGCCTGTTCCCAGTAGCACCAGTCACTTGTTTCTGCAACCTGATGTTGGTCACTATATG